AGGGCGGAGGAGGCAGCGAATACCCGTACTTGAGAGAGATGAAGGAGCGCCTCTTGCTGTCCAGGGACCCGCCACTGGCCAGCATGGACGAGTCGTCGCCCCACGATGCCGCCGACAACCAGGTCCTCGAAGTGCACCACACGCCCGTAGGGACCGTCGTCAAGGTGAGTGGGTGGGGCTCATGGGGTGAAGGGAGGTGGGGGTGGCGGAGGAGGAGGTGGTGGGGGGAGGAGGAGGAGGAGGAGGTGGTGGGGGAGGAGGAGGAGGAGGAGGAGGTGGTGGGGGAGGAGGAGGAGAAGGAGGAAGAGCTGGGGGAGGAGGAAGAGAAGGAGAGGGGAGGAGGAGGAGGAGGAGGAGGAGGAGGAGGGGAGGGAGGGGAGGGAGGAGGAGGAGGAGAAGGAGGAGGAAGAGGAAGAAGAGGGCGGAGAAGTGTGAGGGAGGGGTGAAGGTGAGTAGGTTGGAGGAAGGGAGGCCAAGAGGGGATACAGAGGGGAGGAGAGGAGATGTCTAAGGCCTAGATGGAAGTTCAGGGTATGAGGGTGAAGGGTGAGGGAGGAATGAAGGTGAACAGGTAGGGGTTCGGGGGCAGGCAGGGAGAAGACCGGGATGAGGGAGAGATGGTGAGAAGGATGGGGGGAGGGGGTAAGGGAAGGAGGGGAAAAGATGGGGTGAAGGAGAGATGGTGAGAAGGTAGGAGGTAAGGGAAGGGGGGGAATGACGGGGGTGAGGAAAGGGTGAAGGTGTGTGGGCGGGGGTCAGGGATAAGCACTAGGGGGTAGGGGGTGGGGGGCGGAGATAAACAGTGTTGGGGTCAGGGAGTAGGTAAGGAGAGGAGGAGGAGCTGAGAGAGAAACGAAAAGAAACGAGAAGACTGTAAATATATGAAGGAAAGGGAAAAAAAGAGAGTGATTGGATATGAAAGGGATAAAGAACGAAGGAATAAAGAAAAAAATGAAATGAAAAAGAAGAAAGAGAAAGTGAAGGAAAGAGCAGTAGTAAAGCAGGGAATTTGAAAAATAAAATGGAGCGGTTAAAAAAGAGAGGAGAGGAAAGGAAAACAAGAGATTAGAAAAAAGGAAAAAGCAAAGTAAATAGTGAGATGAAACTGAAGAGAGTGGGCAAGGCCTGGCAATAGGGATGAACTAGGGAGAGGGAGAGGGAGAGAGAGAGAAGGAGAGGGAGAGAGAGAAGGAGAGGGAGAGAGAGAAGGAGAGGGAGAGAGAAAGGGAGAGAGAGAGAGAGAAAGAAATAGAAATAAAGTGAAAGAGAGAGTGAATGTGAAAGTGAGAGAGAGAGAGAGAGAGAGAGAGAGAGAGAGAGAGAGAGAGAGAGAGGAGAGAGAGAGAGAGAGAGAGAAAGAGAAAGTTAGAGAGAGAGAGAGAGAGATAAAGTAAGAGAGAATGTGAATGTGAGAGGGAGAGAGGGATAGAAAGAAAGAGAGAGAGTGAAAGAATGTGAAGGAGAGAGAGAGAGAGAGAGAGAGAGAATAGTAGAGAGGAGAAAGAGAGAGAGAGAGGAGAGAAAGAGAAAGTGAGAGAGAGAGTGAATGTGAATGTGAGAGGGAGACAGGGAGAGAAAGAAAGAAAGAGAGTGAAAGACGTGTAATGAGGTGTGAAGGAGAAAGATGGGGAGGAGAGAGGGAGAGAGGGAGAGAGGGGGATAGAGGGAGAGAGAGAGAGAGAGAGAGAGACGAGAGAGAGAGAGAGAGAGAGAGAGAGAGAGAGAGAGAGAGAGAGAGAGAGAAAGGGCAGGTTCGAAAATCAAGTGGAAACACGGACAAGGGCGAAAGACACATGGCGGCGTCGAGGGGAAGTGTCATGAGCCATTATTCATGATCATAGGTAAGGGGAGACGGGGGTAGAGGGGGGAGGGGGGGGGGAGAAAGAGGAGGGGGGGCAGAATGAGGGGAGAAAGAGGAGGGGTTACGGTCAGGTGGTCATCTGTGTCGAACGTTGAGGGGAGGAAGAGCAGAAAGAAAAATGGAGGGAGAGGGGAGGAAGAGGAGGAAATGAAGGCGGAGTAGGAAGAGGAGGGAAGGAATAGGAGGAAGAGAGGGGGGAAAAAGAGGAAGGGGAGAGAAGGGGAGTGGGAAAAGGAGGAAGAGAGGGGGAGGGGGAGGAGGGGAAACAGGTGGATTTGTTGTCCCGCGAGGGACTGGAAACCCTGGACGATATGAGTAGGGTTTTTTTTTTTTTTTTTTTTTTTTTTTTTTTTTGTAGGGATAGTGTTCTAATGATTCATTAAACGTCATCGTCTTTATAGGATTTATAGCTGTGTTTATTTACTGGTGTATTTGTTCGTTAATTGCCCGCTCGCTGTCATCGTCTCCCGAAAGTTTATGTATACGGTTGTTAATTAGTATTATTCGTTCACATATTCATTTATTTAATGACTGACTCATTATCTCTCTTAACTAACTTATTTCATAATCAATTGTTTTTCCATTGTGATGCGTAATTTTCGTGATCTTGATTTGTTTTTATTAATTGGGGTCAAGAAGTCATTGGTGAGGGGGGGGAGTGAGGGGAAAGCTCGGGGTTTGTTGCCAAGGAAACTGGTCGGGGGGGGGGGGGGCGTCAAGGGGGAAAGGGGGGAGGGAGGGGAAGGGGCGACGATAAGGAAGTGTGAGAAAGTGGATGGTGGCCAAGGGGAAGACAAAGGAAAATGTAAGAAAGGAAAGGTTAAGAGAAAAGAGAATTTAAAAATGCGTGAATTTGATAATGTCGTGGGAGGGAAGAAAATGTAAAAAGGAAAAATGAAAGAAAGCGAATATTAAGGAAGAGGAGTATAATAGATAAAAAAAAATACACTCAATAAAACATGTGTGAAAAGAACTTCAAAATAACAGGTTAAGCAAGCGGAAAAGCCAATAAACAATAGAAGTAAAAAAAATAATAATAATAATAAGAAGAAGAAGAATTAAAGAATAACAAACAAAACGAGCAGTCAACTCAGCCCGAAAAGAAAGTTTAACGGAAGGAGGGGAGAGGGGGGTGGGGAGGTCGAGGGGGGGAGTGTAAATTCGAATAAACCCTGCGAGAGGGGAATATGAAGGTGGATAATCAGCTCATTAGGGAACTGAGGGATTGTGACGCGGTTGGGGCGTCGAGGGGAGGCTGGAGGCGAGCGAGGGTGGGAGAGGAGAGAGAAAAGGGGAAAGACAAAGGAAGGGAGAGAGAGAGAGAGGGGGGGGGCAGAGGGAGAGAAAGAGGTGAAGAGAGTGAGAAAGAAGCAAAAGCAAAAGCAAAAAGAGGGAAAGAGAGAGAGAGAGAAGAAGGAGAAGGACAGAGAGAGGGAAAGAAAGA